CAGTAAAATAATTTTTTTATAAATTATTAAATAAATAAAATTATATAATAATATATATTAATTAAATATATGAAACGTAATATCGCTATCTACCACAACGCCCAACTTTTATTTTTTTCATTCTGTCACTTTTTTTTTTTTGCATTTTTTTCATGTTTTTTTCTTCACTCACTTTTTTTCTTTTGCATTTTTTAATAATTTTTTATTCTACTTTTCATTTTTTTTATTAGAGTGAGACGTTGTTAGTGATAGCGACTTTAAAGTAGGGATGACAAATAAACTCGTACCCGTGGGTAATACCCGAATCCGTCTCGACTTTGACGGGGAATATCTGGTTTGACCGGGTACGAGTACGGGTAAAACCCGATAAATTAAACTGGGTACGAGTACGGGTATAGGTATATACATACCCGTCCCGTACCCGTACCTGTACCTGTACTTGATTTAATTATATTAAAAAAAATTAATATTTTATTATGTGTAATTATTTATTATAATGTGAAACATTTATAATTGTGTAATTATTAAGAAATCACTTGATTAAAATATGAGATAAAGAAATAATTTAATTATAAATATAATATAATAGAATAATAATTTAAAAATATTATGTATTTTTTTTGCAAAAAAAAAATTAATTTTTTACAAGTTCGGGTACGGGTACGGGGATGAGTTTGTGTCGCAGGGACGGGGACGGGTATCATAAAACTCGTACCCGATCCGCCCCATTGCCATTCCTACTTCAAAGTTAGCTCGACCTTTTTTTTATTTTCATATTTTTTTTCACTTTATTTTTCTTTTGTCACTCACTTTTTTTTCTTCCATTTTTTTAACGTTTTTTTTCAGTTTTTTTAAAAGCTTTTCTTTATAAAAATATATTTTTTAATGTTAATTATTTTTATTTAAATTTATTTATAAATACTACTAATTTATTTTTGGTTGAGTGAATTATTCCGGATTATTTTAAAAAAAATTATTTTTTGTAAATTATTAAAATATTTTAAATTATTAACTCCTAAAATAAATATATTTAAAAAAATATTAATATTTTTATTTTATGAAAAAATTATTTTCTTAAAAAATTGAGCCATTTGAGAAGTTAAAATACTACTAAAGTCGTTATAATCGATAACAACTTCTGCACAGCTAAATTCAAGCTGTTTTCAAAAAAAAAATACACATAATATTAGTGTCGCTATGACCCATAACAACATTATAGTAAATAGTCTCAAATATATAAATAGTTTTAAAATAGTCTCATTTATATAATTAATTTTTAAAAAATCTCTACGATGATCAATCAATCCAGTATTAGAAATTATTTTAGACACTTTAAATTAAACTTTTACCTATAAGAAAATATATCAATATCAATCGAGACACCAAATTGATAGATATTTAACACCTTAGAAACTCCTTATATATACTACATATATATATATATATAACTTCATTAGTTTATGGACTATTTAAATGAGAAGGTAATACTTCATAAAATAAATAAATTAATGATTTATTCCATTAGTTTTATTTTAACTTTTGCCCAGGTAATGAATGATAAATATAAATATATAATGGACATCATATATAAGTAGTGTCCATCCAAGCAAACAAGAGTATCAACAAAAGATTTAGAAACTAAAATAAACAAGGATATGAGATAACTCAGATAAGAAAGACAACAACTGTCAGCTAATATTGATGCTTAAAATATAAGCTCTTAAATTATTTTAAGCCTTGAGGAGAGGAAAGCACCTTTAGCACAGGCGGTACATAAAATATCTTAAAGAAAATGAATTATTATAATTTAATTTTATAAAATCAGCTTGTAAGATAAAAATAATTATCTATTTATAAATACTAGCATGAACATCTCATAAATGTGGGATTTTCATTAAAAACAGAACTACATCCATTGTTAATTTTCAGTGCT